AAGAAAGCCGGCTCAAGAGAAACCTAAAGAAGGCCGGCTCAAGTGAAACCCAAAGAAGCCCGGCCCAAAGAAACCTAAAGAAAGCCGGCTCAAGAGAAACCTAAAGAAGCCCGGCTCAAGTGAAACCCAAAGAAGCCCGGCCCAAAAGAAACCTAAAGAAGGTCGGCTCAAGAGAAACCTAAAGAAGGTCGGCTCAAGAGAAACCTAAAGAAGGCTGGCTCAAGAGAAACCTGAAGAAGGCCTACTAAAGAGAAACCTAAAGAAGCCCGACTTAAAAGAAACCTGAAGAAGGCCGGTTCAAGTGAAACCCAAGAAGCCCGGCTAAAAAGAAACCTAAAGAAGGTCGGCTCAAGAGAAACCTAAGTCGAACTTAAGAGAAACCTAAAGAAGGCAGGCTCAAGAGAAACCTAAAGAAGGCCGGCTCAAGAGTAACCTAAAGAAGGCCAGCTCAAAAGAAACCTAAAGAAGGCCGGCTCAAGTGAAACCGAAAAAGGCCGACTTAAGAGAAACCTGAAGAATCACGGCTCAAGAAAAACCTAATGTTTTGGCATTTTCCCAAACTAATATGCTAAAACAATCCCTGCGTGTGGCCAAAGTAGGGTAACCTGTCAGTGCCCGTCCTTCCGTCCTTGGTTTTGAATTCAGAGATTTCCATTGCCTAGAATATTTGCTCTTCTAGGACTAAAGAAACCCTGTCAGCTCCCCTATTTTACTCCTAGCTAGGGGAAGATGGACTCATGCCTTTTTCAAGCGCAATGTGAATAAAACAGTCAAAACATGAAATTAGCATTATACTTATTTTTCTTACTTTTTTTAGAATGATGTTCACCCTGTACAAGGCCGGGGATCCATTCGAGGTAGAGGGTTACAGGGTAAGTGGCACAGTTTATGCGGATATGTGTGGAAGATAACGGTTAACCATAGGGCCGAACAGGTTAAGAGTGTCGTGATCAGAGAAGAGCATCCTTTTGGGATTTGGTTCCTCGAAGTAGCAGTTCGATGGCAGAGGCTGCTCGAGTGAAACATACATGGGTAAATGGCAGAACAAACCGGGTTCTATAGCCTAGGATGGCAATTGCTCTACCGTAGAAAGAAATGGCAGCCTACTGCGAGAAAAATCTTCCTCGTCAGTTATGTATCGAAAGATACATGACCGCCTAAGCGTGTATCAAGCATGGCACATAACTGATTGATGTTTCTTGGTGTAAAGACGGGTACGGCCATATGCAGCCGATTGATTCGACATAAGCCAGGAAATTCCTAGTATATAACCCTGACGTCTTAGTTGATCAGGATAATTTTAGGAATAATGTTATAGGATGTGAAACCATACAGTCGGAATCTCTTGTTTATTCTACATTTAATGGATCTGATACATTCTTCAAGATGATTAAATAAACTCTTAATTATTCCCTCCGTTCCAATGCACAATGGTTCTTCTTTTGCTGGAGTCATATCCATAATTCCTAATACCAGACATCCGTTTCCATGAACAGAATCTCCATATTGCACTAAATAGTGTAAAGTCATACATTTCTCCTGATGTCTGTGATTTGCTACAAGACAAGTGATGAGATAAATGGGGTAATTTTACATTAGGAAGGACCTGTTTTACAAATTCCTATGCCAGATGGTGTAATGGATAGCGGCTCGGATTGAGGAATCGAAGTGCCGAGTTCGAATCCATTACATTCACTTATGTACTGATACCCTTGGGAAAGGTATGAATCCTCTTCTTCTCTCCCCAGCTATGGATAGGACCGGATTCTATAGACTTGGATGGCAACTGGTCTACCGCAAAAAAAAATGACAATTTACTGCGAGGAAAAATCTGCCTCGTCAGTCATGTATCAAAAGATACATGATCGCCTAAGCGTGTATCACGTATGGCACATAACTGAGTGATGCCTATTGGAAGGAGAATAAATACTTCCTCTAAGGGCGCCGGTGTGGAATGTTGTCCACCTCATACATTTTTTTTATGGGGAAGTTTGAAACTGGACGATGACTGATTATGAGAAAGCCGACCGTTGGAATTATCTGCAAATATATCTAGAATTCAAGAAAAGAAACCAGACACGCCAAAGAGAAGAGAATAAGAAAGGACAGTCGCGAAAGAAGATATAAAAAGGTTTTAGAATTCCGTTTGCTTCTATTTCCATTCATCTCGCTTCTTGGGGACGAAATACTTTGGAATTCTTTGAAGTACCGTCCACCCGCTTCTTGACCGTCAGCACGTGTGACTTATTACAGAACAAATTTCCAAAACGCTTTTATGCCTGGAAGGGGCATCAATTTGAAACATTTTTCGAATATATATATATTTTTTTTAATTTAAGGAAAAAATGCAATTCAAATGCAAAGGATAAGTTTGATAAAGTTTATGGAGAACGTACTTGATGATCCGAGTTCAAATCCCGGTTGCATTCCCTTTCCAACTAATCCCTTGTAAAAGGCATCCATTTCTTCTCACGTACCGGCAATGGTTTAAATAACAGCTTTGACTGGGATCTGTAGCCTTGGTTGTCACCCAATCTAAGAGAACGAACACTTTAAATTCAAAACCGTGAAAAAGACAACAGAAAACTACTGCATTATCCTTTCATGGAAGTTATGATATTTCACAGATAACAAAGAAAAGAAATCTGTGAAGCGTCTTTATCGTCTACGTTCTTAAGAGCCATGGCATAAAAAAACGGAATTTTCTCGTCGAACGACTTTCACCGATCGAGTGAACGAAAAGCAAAAAGAAAAAAGAATGACCAAGAAGAATAAGAAAAGAAAATGAAAAGAGTGAAAACGAAGAAGAAGAAGAAGAAGAAGAAGAAGAAGAATAAAAAGAAGAAGATGGTGATGATGATGATGATGATGATGATGATTTTAAGAAAATAAAGCGAAAAGAAAGAAGAAAGAGAAAAAGAACGTATAAAAAAATTGAAGGTCGAGGATATGAAGAAAAAGTAAGAAGAAGATGAAGAAGATATTATGAAAAAAAAAAGCGAAAAAAAGGAATAGAAAAATAAGGTATGAAACGATGTCGAAGGTCGTGGACATGAAAAACAAGAAGAGGAAAAAGAAGATGAAGAATAAAAATATGAAGAAGAAGAATAAAAAAAAGAATATATTATGAAAGAAGAAAAAAGAAAAGAAAAAGAAGAAAAAGAAGAAGCGAAAATGAAAAGAGCGCGAAAACCAAGGAAAGGAAGAAGGAATGAAAAGAAGCCGAAGGTCGAGGACATGAAGAACAAGAAGAAGAAAAAGAAGATGAAGAAAAAAAGGAAGGAAGAAGATAATATGAAAAGAAAGCGTAACCAATGCGGAGAGAAAGATGGTATGAAAGAAGTCGAATGTCGAATAAAAAGGGAAGAAGAGGAAGAAAAAGATATGAAAAGAAAGCTTCTCCTTCTTCTTCTTCTTCTTCTTCTTGTCCCCATCGTTCGCTTTCTTTTCACGCATTTTCTTCTTTGACTTTCTCTTCTCTATATTCTTGTCCTTCACCTTTTCCAACCCTCCTTTTTTTCTTCTTTCACTCTTTTTCTCTCTCTAATGACTTTCTCTTCGAGTTTACGTTCCCCTTACCTCTCTCTTCAGTCATATACGCCCACAACAAAAATAATGTTAAATAAGCAGAAATAAAAATTTAATCATAATGGCAATTCTGATGTCTTAATCCTGATTGCATTTAATGTGAGGTGGTTATGATATGGTTAAATGTAAATGTAGACAAAAATCCAGGAAATCCTGCAAGGAATAATTACTGATCCTAACACACAATTTTTCATCATTTGATTTGAAAAAAAAAATTCCTTTTGTTTGTTAGTTAGTTAGTTATGTGCCATACGTGATACACGTTTAGGCGATCATGTATCTTTCGATGCATGACTGACGAGGCAGTTTTAAAATCTACTGCTCGGCGAGCAAAAGTCCTGCTACATTCAGTTTACGCGATCTGTTGAAAATCCCCGTACAGCAAGTAAAGAAAAAATGATGAAAATATAAGTAAAATTTAAGCCTGTCCAGTAATTAAAAAATCATAATAGTTTTCTATCATTTATATTCGTAATATACACGCGTGGTTCGCCTGTGTGTGGACTTCTCAGGTGCTGAAAACTTCGCACATGCGCACAGCAACATAGACGCACAAGAATATACAGTGTAACCCGGATATAAGAGAGTTGTCAGGACCGGAGAAGTCTCTTATATCCGGGTCTCTCTTATATCTGGGTTTGGTATATTTTATATACATTAACACAGGCTCTAATTTGGGACCAGAGAAAATCTCTCTTATATCCGGGTTTCTCTTATATCCGGGTCTCTTATATCCGGGTTACACTGTACCAGACAATAATATAGAGATTGGTTGGTTTTGACCAAGATTTTTTTTTTCTTACATCGAATGTTATCAGCCCTGGAGCCACCAAGTTGGTTTTTCTCTGTGTTCCTCAACGGGTTTCTGAGAAATATAGAAGGTGGCAGAATTGTGAAGAAGAAGAAGAAGAAGAAGAAGAAGAAGAAGAAGAAGAAGAAGAAAATGGAAATATTAGGTTGGTGCAAAAATAATGACGTAATGATGTCGTTTTTGACGTTAAAAAATACGTCCAAAAACGACATTATTACGTCATTATTTTTGCACCAACCAAATAGAAGGGAAGAAAACAAGGACGAAAGTAAATAGCTAAACATGAAAAAGAATATAGAAACAAAATAAACAGATGAGATTAGAAAAGAAGAAATAAAAAAAAGATGGAAGTAATAAGGAAGAATAATGAGAAAATACTACTACTGCTACTACTACTACTACTACTAATAATAATAATAAGAAGAAGAAGAAGAAGGAGAAGAAAGGATGGGAGAGAAAAAGAAGAATGGAGTAGAGAGATATATGGAAAGAAGACAAAAAGGGGTAAAAGGAGAAAAAAGAGACCGTTATAGAAAGAGGAGAAATAAAAACGGTACAGGAAAGAGTCTGAGTAGGAAGAGAAGAAAAAGAAGACGAAATTCTAGATAGATAGATAGATAGATAGATAGATAGATAGATAGATGTCACGATCCGTTAGCTTGGCAACCTGGCATCTCGAGGGACGATTGGCGAAACTTGGGGCAGTCTTTGATGTGCGCATCCTTAGCTACCCTTCCGGCGCTCACGTCTTTTACGCTAGTCCTCTGAGAACGGCCAAGCTGCAATGACCACACGTTTCAACTTACTGAGATACCAAGAGATCTTCTGACGTTGCTGGTACACGAGCGTTTCCTACGCCTTTTGCCGTGAGCGGGATAAACGCTTTCGACTCAGGAATACGCTCTTGTCCCTTTCGCATGTGTCTTTATCTGGCCAGGTTTTCAAAGAACGTCTTCATTCGCAGACGCTGTTCAAGTCCCCCGGCACCATTCATCTGTTACCGTCATTACTGCATATTAAAGACGTTTAATGATGCCCCAGATAGTACATGATATACTCAGAGACCCGCGGGCGAATGGGCGGTCAGACAGCTTAAAAGTTCCTGCAAAAACAGGAGCTGAAGAACGGTTCGCGTAATGCTGCTTTTTATTAAAAATATTAGTTTTTTGTTATTTTTTACGTGCGGTGTTGATAATTTTATATTATTTAGACATAAAAAGTTGAACGGTTTTCATACCTTTTTCAACTGTTTATATATATATATATATATATATATATATATATATATATATATATATATATATATATATATATATATATATATATATATATATATATATATATATATATATATATATATATATATATATATATATATATATATATATATATATATATATATATATATATATATATATATATATATATATATATATATATATATATATATATATATATATATATATATATATATATATATATATATATATATATATATATATATATATATATATATATATATATAGAGAGAGAGAGAGAGAGAGAGAGATGTGGAAATGATCTAAATAAAGAGATCAACCGTATACATGATCGATTACATACACATACAGGTGAGCAAATAAATGTTTATTTAATCAATGGTGTAAACAAAAGTGTGCTCAACATAGTTGAACCTAGCTATAAAGTATATATTAATAATTACACATATACCTGCGTTTACAGCACGACTCGGAGTTTCATTGCTTTCCCGATCATCAGGTTCAAAAAATATTATGGTTATTTAAAAATATGATTCCATGCTCTACTTTTGTATCGAGCACTATTTTTTTTAAAATAATAACTAAAATACTAAGGAACTTTGGATTATTTACCTAACCAGTTCTTTCCTATTTTCTATATATTTTCACACACACATATATATATATATATATATATATATATATATATATATATATATATATATATATATAATGAAGAAATATAGTTTTAAGGTGTGCTATATTTATGGGATAAAGTGCTCAATATCAGAGATAGAGCGTATGTAAATCTCTATCTATAAAAGGCAGGATGTGTGTGTGTGTGTGTGTGTGTGTGTGTGTGTGTGTGTGTGTGTGTGTGTGTGTGCACGGCCGCAATTTTCGACGGATTTGCACCAAAATTTAAATGCAGATGCTCCAAGTTAGCGACAAGGCCAAGACCGACTTTGCATTTCCCAACTCCCATCGAGAGTGGAAATAATCGATGTTATCATGCTTCTACGGCAGTTTTCATGTAGTTTGCGGCCATTTTCTACTGGCCAGAGTGAGAGCCTATAGCTGGCTGCCACGAATAGGCAGGAAGATTCTACTGGCCAGCGTGAGAGCCAATAGCTGACTGACACGAATGTTATCTAGCATGCAAGAAAAATCGATAGCTGCATTCGTCACAAGTGGGAAAAATTTAAAACTGCATGGCACTTTACTTCAATTGGCTCATTCGCTTGCTTATACTCAATGTTGATTCTGATTCCGCAGAACTGGGTTGGGTGTGAAAAACTATTTGTTGCTAACATTCTTTTTTCATTCGGTTTTTCCAATTACGAGTCCTTTTTTAAAGCTGATCGTTTTGTGTTCATTTTGTTTAGTTCTTTTTCGTAACAGATTTAATGCTTAGTATAGAGCTTAGAAAATATTCGCTGTGTGAGATAGGCAAGAAGTAAGGCATGTAGCAACATCAGCACCGCGAAGGGCACTCCTTTAAAAGGCAAGGAAGGGCAAAAATATTTTAAGTCAAGTGATAGCGATTGCAGTATGAATCGTACGATTTTTGAATCAATCACGGGCAACGCCAAATATTCTGCTAGTATAAATATAAAAGTGAACATTGAATTCAGCACTCAGAGGCGACAGGCTGTTTCATGCTGGACGCAATCATATATATATATATATATATATATATATATATATATATATATATATATATATATATATATATATATATATATATATATATATATATATATATATATATATATATATATATATATATATATATATATATATATATATATATATATATATATATATATATATATATATATATATATATATGATATATATAATATATATATGATATATATAATATATATATATATATATATATATATATATATATAATATATATGATATATATATATATATATGATATATATATATATATATATGATATATATATATAATATATATATATATATATATATATATGATATATATATAATATATATATATATATATATATATATATATATGATATATATATATATATATGATATATATATATATATATATGATATATATATACATATGATATATATATATACATATGATATATATATGATATATATATATATATACATATATATATATATATATATATATATATAATATATATATATATGATATATAATATATATATATATATATATATATATATATAACATTGACAACGAATGTCTATTATGTTTGATCATGAATCGTTCTAAGCTTTTTATAGGGGCTTTAGTTTTGGGATAGGATAAAAACAAAAACTGTCCAATATTTGGATATTTTTTATCCATCATCAGAATGGTTATCTGGACATTATCACTCTGATGAGGGTTCATGTATGCCCAAAACTTAGATTGATGAACAGCATAATAAAATAAAATATCCAAACCGCACCCGAGGACGATACATTTCACAGTAAGAACTAAATTCGAATCGAATCTGGATACTCAGAATTTTGACATTTAACAAAACCTCGAGTAGAAGAATGGACAGCTTTACGTTATTGTGCCTTGGGAACTTTTGCAGTAAATAAACTTTTGGTTGGAAATATGTAATATTTATGAGGATAATATACGGATATCTTTCCTTCGGTGTTTATAAACTGTACACTGTTCAATTATTAACGTTAACAAGGAACTATTTTAAATTACAAAATTGTACTTGGATTAAACGAAAATTACTGACAATATAATACATATATTACTTATAAAATGGACAAATTTCCGACAATAATTTAAAACATTTTTATGTTTATACATTCTTTTTATAGATACAAATATTTACGTAAAATGTAAATGTTCTGAAACCAGAGTGTTTATGTTGTTTAATGCTGTTTATTATAAACAGAGCATTTATTTAAATATTTGTATCTATAAAAAGAATGTATAAGCATAAAAATGTCTTAAAATATCACTTATAATACATTCCTTCTTGCCGTCAATTTGAATCAGAAATTTCCTGATTGTGATTCTTTAATTGATAACAAGTCTGTGAAGTTGGTCCTTCTTCTAGCAGCGAACTTAATACGGATTTATTATTCGGGATTGCTAATTCATTCATGAAAGTAAAGAATTGTATTTTTTCCCTTGTCTTGAGGCCGCTGCTAGTTAATAGAAAGCATATTTCAAAGAGTTGCTTCTACCAATTTTATCCCCTTAAAATTCTTTCCACTCAAACAAATTGTGGAAATCGAGAAAGGGGGCATCGCAGATTGCATGATATTTTACCTAAACACTCTGGTTTAGAACGACAGGCAGGAAAAGTGAGACCGTTCAAAGTTTACGCAAAAATATTGTGCTTTGGGAACTTTAGCAGTAAAATTCAGGTTGTAAATATGTAACATCTATGACGATAATATACGGATATCTTTTCTTTAGTGTTTATAAATTGTACATAGTTCAATTATTAACGTTAACAACAAAGTATTTTAAATTACAAAATTGTACTTGGTTTAAATGAAAATTACTCACAATATAGTACATATAACTTATAATACATTCCTTCTTGCCGTCAATTTCGACGACATGGGTACACTTGTAATAAAAATGATGATAAATTACCGACTCTGTTGTGGGACGCAATTTCAGATTGGACGTTTCTCCCCTCTACACCGGTTTCTTGCTTTTTATCGTCGTTCTCTGCCTTGTATCCAGTTCGTTCGTTTGTTTTATCACAACTGCACGTATCGTACAGTGTTCCCCGACAGAATTCACTCTTTTCTACAAGATGGTCTTGTTTGACGGAACGACGCACTCGGCTTTAAGTCCTACATGCCATAGCAAGACGAACTCCCTCTCATCAAGAATGAGGCAAGTCTCGTTCACCACTTCCGCCCCTCGACTCGGCTTCCGGTTTACTGTGTCTGCCACACTGATCTTCATTGATTGGAGGGATTACAATGTACATATTTTCTCTTGGTGAATTAAGATTTAGTTGTCAGTTGCCTGACCTTAAGCAGCTGCAACGTGCATCTTTGAAATTGAACAAGGTTAGTGCAGAGAGTTTATTTTTTTAATTTGAAGGATAAGACAACCAAGGCGAATTGGGAGCCTAGATTTAGATAATTAGGAACAAAGCGCAAGTAATTCAGCTAGCACATTATAACATCTCTTTCGGCTTCTTGTTCTCTCGTCAACTTTGACCTTCAAAAATTTAAATCCAATATCAATCGTTATCTTCTGTCTTTTAATTCCTGTTCTTTTGTTGTTACCTTTCCATAGTATTGTCTTCATTTTCTCATATTCTCTCACGCGCAGTGACCCTCTCGTCTTCTGTACTGAGAAAGACATGAATCCACATCTCATTTCAGATCAGATCAAAGGTAACTGTCTCGTTGCTATTAACATAAAAAACCATTTATAATCTTTGGG